TCCGATCTCCCCAAAACCCCAAAACCCCAATTAACTTAGCAGAGAGAAATCGGAAAATTGTGAATATAGATAATTGTAAAGGAGTAAAAAGAGTGCTTTAAGATAGTTATAATTTTACCTAATTATTCTCATTAATTAGAAATTAATAACATGATGTTAAGCTGGGAATGTAATGGTAAATATATTAATTTTTCCACTTTTTAGCCGTATTTAGAGAGCCTCCTTAGACTAGAATTATATATGAATGGCTACCTCCTAAGGATATTTCGTTAGATGAACCTGATACCTTGATGGATTCAGAGAATCCTGTTTAGATAAATCTAGAATTATTGGAAAATTCTCCTAAATTTAATTAATAAGTCAACTAAATCGAAAGCAATATGCTTCAATGCATTCGCAGTAATTCTTTAGATTCAGTCCGAGAAAGTTGCACTCCCGTTTCTTCTTCTAATCGTAGGAAAATAGTAATAAATTCATTCCGTAAGAAGATGCAAAAGGATACAGGTAGAAGACAATAAATTGAAGATGCTGAGTAGCTTATATCACAAGGAGGATAGGAATTTAATTTTTAGAATTTGTTCTTAAATGTCAAGTAAGATCAGCAGTAACTGTAGTAACAACCAATGAATTTAAGTTTTGATCAGGTATCCCGGTCTTAGAGTCATTGAGAGATGCAAACTCAGAAGAAATTGAAAGATAAGTTCAAACTAAAGATCAGCAAATCCATTTTCGTGCATGAATGCAAGGGATAGATAAAGTCAAAATATAGAGTACTAGAAAATATTGGGAAGGGTACTTATGGCCAAGTAAAAAAAGTATTACATAAAGCAACTGGCGAGTTAAGAGCAATGAAGATTATCAAAAAAGGACAAGTCAATGATGAATTTATGAGTATACTAATGAATGAAATAGAAATACTGAAACAACTGGACCACCCTAAGATAGTGAGGATATTTGAATTTTACTAAGACAGAGAAAACTTCTTCTTGATAACGGAACTGATATAAGATGGAGATCTGTCAAATTTAGTTAAAAAGTAAAAGAAGTTTGACGAAAAATAAACAATAACCATTATTAAACAGCTGCTACTTGCTATAGTTTACTGCCATACTAAGAAAATAGCACATAGAGACCTGAAACCAGAGAATCTGATCCTAGAAGACAAAGAAAAGCTGTAAGTGAAGCTTATTGACTTTGGAACTTCGATAAGATTCGACCTGAATAAAATGGACTATCGAATAGGAACAGTAAGTTTAATAAAAAATATAAATTTTTAATAATCCTATTTTATAGCCACATTATATGGCACCAGAGGTAATAACAAAAGCATATGACGAAAAATGTGATATTTGGAGTATCGGAGTCATTGCCTACTATTTGCTTGCTGGTATTCATCCATTTAGAGGAAAGAACCAAAATGATATTTTTAAAGAGATTAAAGAGTACAAGCTAAGTTTTGGTGGATAAGAATGGAGAGAAATTTCAACAGAGGCAAAACTCTTTATCAAAAGGTTAATGAGTTTGAATCCAAAGGACAGGCCAAGGCCAGAAGAGGCATTGCTTGACTAGTGGATCATGAATGGTGAGAGCAGCTATCCTAAAAAGAAATAGGTCATCGAGAGGAATAATCTAGTAATATCTAAAATGATAAGAAATACCAATCAAATTAAGGTATGATTTCAGACTTCAAATAATCATATAGATCGAAAAAAAGCTATAATAAGCTATATTATCTTACTTTGCTAACTATATGAACTCCGATGAAAATAAAAGAATAATTGAGGAGATATACTTTGCATTCGACTCAAATAACGATGGTATCATAGACCAGAAAGAGTTGGAGCTAGCCCTCCTCGCTCATTATGATGGGAATTCTGACCTTGCTCATATTAAAACTATGGAATTCTTAGAAAAGCTTGACCTTAATGAAAACGGAGACATTGAATACTCTGAATTCATGATAACCTCGATTGAATCATAATAAATAATGCATGGAGATATAATTTAGGAAATGTTTGAGGTCTTTGATCTGAACCAATCTGGAGAGATATCTTCTGTAGAGCTTAGGAAGGTTTTGGGGAATAACCTTAGAAAAGGTGAAATAGAAGATAATGAATGGGATGAAATCGTTAATGAGATAGATTCAAATGGAAACGGATACATTACTTTTGAGGACTTTAAGACTACGATAATGAATTTATTCAAAAGGGATGATCCGAGGTCCAAATTAAGTAGGCTAGTTGACTTCTAAGATGTTTCACAAGCTAAAGCAGGAATTAATCGATAGCTTACAGCAAATGATAAAGTTAATCCAGATTTCAACATAATCGAGCAACATCATGATCCAAAGTAAAACCATATCTCATGAATAAAATTTTTGTAGAAAGAAGAAAAGATTTAAAAAGCGAGTAGTAAATCATGTAGTAGTAAAGAAGAAGAGAGCTCTTCATCGAGGAGAGTCAAATTATTAGGCTAGCTTCATTTGTGAAGACACTCCCTAACTCGAGCTCAATAAATTTTAATCACAGAAATATTGATTTTAATCTTGTATTAATATAAAGTTTACTCATTTAATTTCTTAAAAGTTAATAAATAATTTTAACAAAAATAAATGTCATATCAGTATTAACATATATCATCGAATAGTGGGAATATAGTAGACACTTTCTTAGAAGCTAAGATAGATATCTCTAGACTTGATGATATCTTTAGTTTTACCTACAGCTTTGACAAACTGCAAGCAATACTCAAAGTTCTTATTCAACAGCAGAGAGCTCATTCAGATCACATAAACTCTCTCTACAAATAAACAGCTTTAATGGATAAGTAAGTCTACAGTTAAGTTACTTTATTTTCATTCTTAGTACATTATAGTATTGTATATAAATAACATTTTCCATAGATTTCGTTAGGATTAGAAACAGATTAAAGACAATATAAAAAGTTTAGGAGAAAAATTGAATAATCATGATGATTCTTTATTCAACATAAATAACAACGTCTCAAATATAAAAATCAACTTGGATGACACTTCAACTTCTCTAGAGAATACCAAGCGAGATCAAGATAATTAACTAGAAAGAATAGAAAAGCTTGAAAATGACTAGATACTAATGAAAGATGATTACGAAACCAATATATAAGGGGTTAAGGAGGAATTAGTGAGCGTAAAAGATAATTATTTGAGCAAAAAATAACATGAAGAGAAGAATCAAGAAATGAAAAAGGAGTTATCGAACGATATCAAAAGTAATGAAGACGAATTAAAGAAGTTACAAACTAGAGTAAAGGAGCTTGAAAATTCTGTACCCACAATGAGAATAGATGTTGATGCTAACATTACACAAATAAAGGACATGATGGAAAAGATCGGATAAATTGATACCAGTGTAGATAAGCATAGATCGGATATATCCCTTCACACTAGAAACTTAGACGATAACATGGGATTAATAAAGGAATTACAAAGAAAACTTCAAGAAAAAGTTGGCTGTGATATTTTTGATAAGGAAATTAACTATCTCAAGAGTCTTCTTACTCATCTTAGAAAGTAAGATATATTTTAGAGTTTAAATAGTATATAGCAAGTAGCAAGATGATTAGAAGTTCATGTAAGAGGAGAAAACTAAGAATACTAGAGAAATTGGATCAAAAGAATTCAATCTGCTTCGGGAAATTGAGGAGAAACTCCCAATGATTGAGGATAAATTGAAGCAACTAATGGATGCAATGCTCAAGATACCTAGAATAGAAGACTTTTTGTTGAAACTTAGCTCTTAACTCAAAGAGTTGAATGTCTCTGAGATCATGTAAAAATTAAAAGAGCTATAGGAACATAAGTTAGATAAAGATTAATTCGAAAAATTCGTTCATTAGTTCCTAGATCTAGAGGCCAAAATGAAAGACTTGTAGAAAATGATCTCTATACTAGACTAAAAGGGAGCTGGTCCTGATAATAGTGATGGAATCATGAGCTTGATATAGAAATAGGAGTTATTAATCAAGAAAATTAGTGATCTTGAGAAAGAAGTAGTAGAGCTAAAAAGAAATAGTAAGGCTGGTAATACTATATCAATTAATGAGCCAGCCAATTCTCAAGAGATTAATGACTTGAAGGAACAGATTTATAACATGAAAAAAGAAATGGATCTTATGAAGCAAGGATTTGGTAAGTCAATAAAAGACTTAGAGAAATAAGTCAAATTTAAGGTAGACAATAATTAGCTAAATCAACTTGAGAAAGTTCTAATGGATTAGCTAAACGAGTAAATGAACATTCTAAACAATAAAATTGACGATTTAAAGAAATTAAAAGCATAAATAGCTAAGCTTGAAGCTGCCTTAAAGAAGCTTTAGGACTATATCATGGAATAGTTAGCTTTACTTTAGAGCATGAATCATGGCAATTCTAATGGTGAAGAAGAGGATGCTATGTTTTCAAAGAGACCATTATTGGGCTACTCTTGCGCATCTTGTGACAAAGATATTCTTAACTTATCAGGCAGACCTGCTGATTTCCATCCTTGGTCCAAAATGCCATAAAGAGATCCTACTGATAGAATCTCAAGAGTTGGTCAAGGTTTTTCTAGGATGCTTTAGCAAGTCAAACCTGAAATGATTGATAAACTGAAAAGAGGTAAGATGATGAACTAGACAATGTAAAATTTCCTTCAAACAGAAGGTAGTGTAGATGAAACTATGAATGAAGATTAGTCTATTGAAGCAGCTAATAGATCAGGCCTCATTAAACCAATTAGTTCTCAGTCATAGTAAAGACTTGGAAAGATACAAAATAAAACTTAACTTGGCAAAACATAACCAATTAATTCCAAGTAGATTGGAGCGAATCCAGGATCTTAAACAGAGAGAAGCCATCCTAATGATCACTTGAAGCTATTCAGTGATACACCTTAATTCAAAAAGAATTTGATAAAAAATATCTAGCATGAACAAAAGCTAATGAGTGAAATAGTCTCGCCGCTGAGAGAAAGGGCCTCTAAGATTTAGTTCAATGAGAGATAATTAGAGATGTCTAATACTAATGGGGATATTTAATACTCTACTTCAGATATCTAAGTGCTCACTCAACACCCAACCAGCAAATCAACAAGCAAATTACCCCCAGTATTAAGATCTAAGACTCCCTAGAAAAAATAATGAAATATAGATTAAGAGATATATAATTCAAAATTATTCATAATATACATTTCAATTGATGGGGTTTTGGGGTTTTGGGGTTTTGGGG